TGATAAGCCACGCCCCCACAGATAAGCCGCGCCCCATCTGATAAGTCATGCCCGCTCTGATAGGCCACGCCCCCGCTAGGGAAAGCCACGCCCCCGCTAGGGAAAGCCACGCCCCCGCTAGGGAAAGCCACGCCCCCTTAGATAAGCCACGCCCCGTCTAATAAGCCACGCCCCTAGGAAGCCACGCCCCCGCTAGGGAAAGCCACGCCCCCGCTAGGGAAAGCCACGCCCCCTTAGATAAGCCACGCCCCTCCCATCTGGTCGGGAAAGGACACGCCCACGCCGCAAAGCCACGCCCCCGGACGGCAAAGGACACGCCCACCCGCCGCCCACAGCCAATGGCAGCCGCCCTGTCCCCTCCCCAGCCACGCCCTTTGGCCACGCCCACTCGCGGGGTTGGGGTGGGGAGCCACGCCCACATAGAAAGCCACGCCCCTCCCGATTGGTTAAGGACACGCCCACCACTCGAAAAGCCACGCCCCCCTATTGGCCAAGGACACGCCCCCTCGCGGCCAACAGCGAATGGCAGCCGCCCTGCCCCCCGCCCACGCCCTTGTGCCACGCCCACTCGCTGGATGGGGGAGGGAAGCCACGCCCACCTGGAAAGCCACGCCCCCACCTGGTTGGTGAAGGACACGCCCTCCCCGCAAAGCCACGCCCACAATCAGCAAATGACACGCCCACTCTGCTAAGCCACGCCCCTCGTTTGGAAAAGGACACGCCCCCTGGGCCTTGAAACCACGCCCACTTTTGGGGACAGGGTGGGGGCGGGGAGGGGAAGCCACGCCCACCTCCCAAAAACCACGTCCCCTACTGCCAAAGGACACGCCCACCCGGGAAAAGCCACGCCCACTGTGTGCTAATGGCATGGTGGATGGGGCAGGGTAGCCACGCCCACACCGCGAAACCACGCCCATCCCACAGAAGCCACGCCCCCTGATTGGCCGAGGACACGCCCAGAACGCGGTTGTTAAGCCACGCCCACCCCACAGAAGCCACGCCCCCTGATTGGCCGAGGACAAGCCCAGAACGCGGTTGTTAAGCCACGCCCACCCGGGAAAAGCCACGCCCCCTGATTCTCCGAGGACACGCCCAGAACGCGGTTGTTAAGCCACGCCCACCCGGGAAAAGCCACGCCCCCTGATTGGCCGAGGCAGCCTCATGAATATTAATGAGCTGTTGGACTTGACGCGCCTTCCTAATTAAGACGAAGTGGTGGGCAGCGGGTCAATTATGAATATTAATTAGTCAGCAATTTTCAATTGCCACAGGTTCACGAATAGCAATTAGCAGATTGTCTAATTACCACCTCATTAATATTAGCAGCAGTAATGAGCCATGGTCAACTATAATGAATATTAATGAGCCACAGCTCATTAGTAGGCTAATTAATGAGGCCTACTCCATTTCAATGTACCTAGCAGCTTCTGCTTCATGAATATTAATGATTTACCACCATCATTACCCGCCCCTTGTGAATATTAATGACCCCAACCCTCATTAACATTAATTAGCAACACTCAAGCATGCCCTGCCTCATTATTAGCTAGCTGTCACGTGATGCCCCTCATTAATATTCATAACTTGTTTTCAATTAGCGCTGCCCGATATAAAGGCGGGGAGGCCTGCGTGGGCCCCACCCCCTCATTAATATTAATGAGGGAGCCCAGCGCAGCCAGCGGTGTGGGCGTGGCCAAACAAAGGGGCGTGGCCAGAGAAGGGGCGGGGCAGCACAAATATGAATAATGGTGGGCGTGGCTTCGGGAAGGGGCGTGGCCAAACAAAGGGGCGGGGCCAGCGAAGGGGCGGGGCAGCACAAATATGAATAATGGTGGGCGTGGCTTCGGGAAGGAGCGTGGCCAAACAAAGGGGCGTGGCCAGAGAAGGGGCGGGACAGCACCAATATGAATAATGGTGGGCGTGGCTTCGGGAAGGGGCGTGGCTTGAGGAGGGGGCGTGGCCTGCACAGGGGGCGTGACCTCCTTGGCGCCATCTTGCGGCGCGCCGCCGCCATCTTGCGCATGCGCGGCTCTGCCGCCGCCTCCGGCCGCCAGGGGGCGCTCCCGGCCGGAAGTCCCGAAAATACCAAAAACCACCAAAAACAGCCCAAAAACGCCACAGAAACACCCCAAAAACAGCCAAAAACACCCCAAAACCACCCCGGGGAGCGGCTTTGGAACCCAGGGGAGACACCCCCAAATCCCCTCTGCGGGACCCCCAAAAACACCCAAAAACCACCCAAAATCACCCCCAAAAACACCC